CATAAAAAGCAATAATTGAAGTTCGTAAAACTGTGGTTCATCTTGCAAGCTGCCCGCAGACAAGTTGCATTGTATTTTATCACTGACAACATTTAACAATTGGTTTAAGAAAACAAAAAACAAGTATGTATGTATTAGGGTGTGCCTTATGTGCCGAACTATTTGTTTGTTGCTTTATACTTTTACTTCAACTCATAATTCTTAAGAATGGAATGAAATCACGCACCATTACCGTTATTATTTTTATAAGAAACATCATAATTTAATAGTTATTTTGTGATTTTTATTTCTTCAATAATTTTTAATCGTTATTAAATATGTGATTTTTATTTCTTTTAAATCATCTTTAATCTTTACTAAATTTGTTCGATCAGAATAAGCGTTTTTATAACCGATTAAAATCTTTTATGATCTAAAAAATTAACCCTGAAAATAATATGATAAAAAAAATAAAAATCACAAAATAACGATCAGAATTTGTCCGATAAAATCATATAATAACGATTGAAATGGATCGAAAAAATAAAAATCATATAGACAATAACGATTAAAAATTATCGAAAAAAATCAAGTCATATAATAGGGATTATTTTTTAATCGGAGAAATAAATATCAGCGCCCAAAACACAAGAGGTCAAGGGATCACTAGTTCTGTGCGAAATTAGGGAGGGCCTCAAAATTATGCTATTTGAACCAAAAACCTTAAGAATTTCGTAAAGGATACTAATTTTGATAAATTATTCCTCCTGGCAAAGCTTCAAAGGGCAAAGACTGTGCCTTTTTTGCCTTAGAAGAGTGGGACATTTTAAGAAACGAACACAACCGTTTGCCTATCCTTTAGAATTGAACACGAAGAGGAAAAGGGGCTATCAAAAGACTGCATATTTTGGAAGAAACGAAAGCACCATTAAATATTTATAAAATAGCGAAAATATGAGTCATTCATTGGCCCCTTCTTTTCAGTATTGTGTATAAGATTTCACAATAGGTCATTGTCTGAAAATTACAAAAAAAAGTGTTTTTCTTATTTAAAAAGGAAGTAGCTAGCTATAGCGTTTCGTGAAGAAAAAATCTTAATATTTCTTGCGAAAATGGCAGTGGTTTGAAGAAATTAAGAGGAAATTTTTATTAAAATGTTAAGTTCATTAAATTTGTAAATTAAGAACGGGAACGGGACAAAAAATGTCGGCTAAATCGGTCCAGTAGATCTTCAGATATCGTGTACAGCAGTTTTAAAACAGTCGTTTCGAGAAAAAATCAAAAAAAAATGTCACCGCCTTTTGGCGCTTTTCTACTACTCCGACTTTTAACTCTTGTAACTTCTGAAGAACATATTTTGAATACGCCATAAAAAAAAATCTTTTTTTCAGTATAGTGATTTTCAGAGTTTTTCAATAAAATAAAGGAATTTCTGGTACTAGGTATGTGTACCTGTTGTACACCACGCGACAAAATGACATCTACGTCTAACAAAAACTATGTAAATCCAAATTTCTAGCTTTGTGCAAAAACTAGCAAGAACTATGTGTATTTTTATAGAAAAAATTAGAAAAATTTGGTTTGGAAAATATAAATAAATAAATCGTTAAACCATCAGGGTATACTTATTTTTGACGCTCACTGTATATGCATTTTTATAACGTGTTTCCACTAACAATTCGCTGTTAGCTTATATCGTTTTTCATCATAAATTTATACTACTCCTACTATGCGTTAACAAGTTTAGCTAGCAAAAAAAGTAATTTTTCGTATAAATGCAATATTTTGACAAAAAAAAACCGTATCCATTTTTGGAATTGAAAAAAGTATTATACTGCTAAAAAAAATTATAGATCGAGCGTCATTCATAGCCAAAAATGTTCTAAATATTCAGATAAAAAAGTTCGATTGTTTTTTTTTAGAGTTTAGAAATTATATTTTTATTTATTTTTTTGTTATCGTAAAAAAATAGCGAAAGAAATAAAAACTGTTGCATATATACTTTTTTCCGTGAGTGTGCGTATAATCGAACACCTAATTTCAAGTATCCTCAGTTATATTTTTCAAACCGCCTCGCACAAATTAATGCACAATTTAGGACACTTGCTTCGCATAAAACCGATAATGATTCGTAATGTTTTTGGACAAAGGGTTTTGATACAAATTAAGCACCAAAATGAGAACATATGTACATATATTCAAATACGTAAGGTGCACCCTAATAAGCACTATATTTCGGCACGCATAGCATGTACATACATGCAATATTTTGCGTAATGAAAAAAACAAAAGACGTACAGCTTTAAGGACTTTTCTTCAATACCCAATAACTCTGAACAATACATAATCTTAAATGCTAAAGTAAAATTTATGATAATCGCACTTCTTCTTCACTATCACGCACTGTGTATGCATACATTTGTACATACATATGTACGTAGGAATGTATGTTCGATACAATACATTTTGTGCCTACTGTCTGCGTCTGACGCATTCATTGCAAGTTGTGTAGTTACATACGAAATCATTTCCGATGAGCAACTTGGCAATGTCGCGCATATTAATGAGCTTGTTGAGTTCGCGTCGCAAGCGCAATGGCTAATTTTAAGTTTACTTTTTTTGTGGCTTTTATTTTTATTTGATTGTATACATATGTTTTCAAAACTTACAATCATTCTACAGAGAAGGTGCCTTCAATTTGGCGAAAGGAAAACAAAAGTTATGTAAATTTTTGTTTAGTACTGAAATACTAAACGAATGATGGATACGAATGATAGATTTGTTTTTGAGAAAGGTTTATAAATGGCTTTAGTAGTCAACGTTTAAAAGAACTAATATGTATTATACATATACATAAGCCATTTTACTGAATCCATTTTGAATTATAGACTTTACATGTATTTAACAAATAAATAACATTTCCATGTATATACAGTAAGATACTTTTATATTATAAGAAATTATAGACTAAAAAAATTCAGCATATGAAAATTATTTATTTATCCATCTTAATTTGTTAAGTATACTACACATAAATAATATAAGAAACTTCTACTTCGCGTCCATACAAAAAAATAAATTTTCCATATTATTTGCATCGTTTCGCACAAAGGACTATGTTGGAAACACCGTCACTGGCTAATCAATTCGCTTAAACTCATAC